AAAGTTCAAAGCTTATACGTACTAACTGTTAATACTTCTATACTCCAAAACAAACAAGCCATAACAACCTAACCTACAAATGTAACTTTCAATGCATTACCCAGACAATAACATAACTGCCAAGCATGCTTTTCTTCAAAAACAAATGGACTTCAAGCCAAAACACTTTTATATGAAAAAAAACTAACCTACTTCAGATTGCACACATATTCACATAACATAAACTTATGAAATTGTCTTCATAATTTAGAGGAATTTCTGGACATGCTACGGATTAGAAGACCAATGCAACAAAAATGCGAAAACATATCATCCATTTTAAAAAAAGCCCACACACTCCCTTAACATGAATCACAGCTAAGCTAATCACTATGTCAATAAGTAGGTAGGATACGTGCATTGCTTCAAAGACATGTTTTGCTGGAGTCAAAATCATTACTAAATAGAGGCACCAAGGGGTTTAACTCTTGGGAATTCAAAGTTTAATTCAACTTCTGCGGGTATATGTGAGTGTGATTATTATAATTAAGTACATTTTTACTGTGTTTTTGACAAGTACAATCCATGTTCGCATGGGAATTCTAAGTATAGTTTCGTATCTGTTTCTCACAGGGCAACACTCGGCATCAAAATTTAGACTTATTATCTGCCAAGTAGTCCAAAATGTAAGAAAAATTGAGGAAGTCACAATCTAACCATCAATAGGAGAAAGTGCATCCAAAAAACACCCAGAAAAACATTATGATTTATTAAAACTGCATAATCAGTCATTCAATGAACAAAAAATAAAAAATCTAGAAGATAAAACCTAAAAAATCAGCCCCCAAGCTCACATCATCATCTTGAATGTCATCATTTTCATCCTCACAAGGATCGAGCACACTCTTAACCTGCACAAATTCCCAGTTGCAAACATTAACTTAAAATTTTTGAACAAGGGACCAAGTGTTCCTACAATATTCTATCCTTACCTTGAGAGCTAATACTAAATGCTTGCTGTTGACATTCCCAACCTCCATTTCCAGAGGATTTTTTATCCATGGATTATGAGCTTCTTGTTCTGAGCAGCTTCTGAAGAATTGAGGCTCGTAATCCACAGGTTGCAAGATCAATGTGTGAGTGACTATATTTTTCTGTGGTCAAATAATACAGAGAGAGGAGAAGGATTTTTAGATGCATTATTGGGATAATGACAAGCCAAAACACCCAACATCTGTAAGATTCAAATGTCCCTATCTTTACCAGAATTTCTCATTCTAACAAAACTGTAGTTTAAAAAGAACACAATTCTAATAGCATAGAGACAATTTATAATTAGATAATATCATTGGACAACTAATAGAACAAACCACAAAAGATGCTAATTTATGGAGATCATATGCAGATACTAGTGCTTATGAGTTGCATTAATTATTTCCTCAGCCTTTTCATGGGAACAGTATCAAATTTTGGATTTTCTATACCTTTAATCAAGGATATCCAATGATCTGAAAGATGAAGTACACAAAAATCTAATTAACTGAAACGCATACCATGACATCATCATAGTAGAGGAGTTTTATCACAATAGTGCGCTGATACAGAAATCAAATAAAAATCTGGCAGTCAAAAGCAAAGCTTTTAAATTGTATCAAAATTCGAACTGTTGGGTTAATTATATCAAAATTTTATTAATTATTGGTGAATATCGACTTATTCCCTACATGAATGAACATGTATAGTTTCATTCCATTAATGAACATGCCTGAAAACTGGAAGATCTCACCAGTAATAATTTCATTCCATTAATGGAACAGAAGCACTAGGGACATTTAGTTCACTAAATATTAGGGGTGAGCAGCGGATATACCGATCCGCTAAAACCGACCGAACCGAACCGATCCACCGCATTTTGGACAGATGCGTGATGACGAGCGGACGGTTGTGGATTGATTTTCTCCAATCCGCCAATTTGGCGGATGGATGACAGATTTGAGATTTCTTTGGCCGCAACCGAACCGCCAAACCGCGAGCACCCCTAGTAATTTATAAGATTTTGTGTTTTCAATTTGTTTAAATATTATGTTTTTGTTTTCAATTGAAAAAGAGTTTAAATATTCTGTTGAAAAAAAAATTTCAACTTGAATATATTTTTTGAATTGAAAAAAATAAACGTATTATTTATCTATTTTTTTTTATTTTTAAATCTAACTCTAAAAATAATAAATATAAATATGATATATGCTGGTTGGTTTTTGTTTTCAAAAACATATATATATATGTAATAATACATAGACATACAATCTCTACTACTGCTCTATTGCATGGTTTTGTGGTTTGAATTGTTATTATATTTTAAGAACCATAGATTGTAATACTTTATGTGGATGAATCATGCTGTAATTGTAATATGTGGATGAGGCATGCAGTGATCGTGATATTCTAAAGTTTTAAACTTTCTTTCTTTAGATAAGGCATACAGTGATTGTAATACTTTTTTAAGTCATTGACTTGTAATATTTTCTTTCTTCTTCTTCTTTTTTTTTTTTTTTTTTTTGAGGAAGTGCACAAGTTGAATTATGTTGAAAATTTATAAAATTTTAAACTGCCAAATCGATTCGCATCCATCCGCCAAACCGCCAATCCGCTCAATCCACATCCGCCGGATTGGCGGACGGATGCGGGTTGATTTTCTCCAATCGCCAATCTAGCGGATGGATGGCGGATTGGAGGTTCCGTGGCTGCAACCGACCGCGCCTACCCCTACTAAATAACATAGTTCAGAAGATAGCAAAACTTTGAATGAATAATTGGTATAGTGGTAATGCAATAAATGAAAATTCAATGAATTTGTTAAATTGTCAATACTAATACTAAAAAGATCAACCAAAATGACCAAAAATCAAAATAAAGACATTGGGGCTTTTAGATGCCTTCAAATTCCTAACTCTTAAAATATTGTAGAAATAACTAAGTGAAATTGAAAATTAGGATTTATGGAGCCCTTATGAATTGTTCTGATATATCATATCTATCCACTAGAACCAATCATGTTTCTTCTTTGACAACCAAAGAAAAAGATACGATTGTGTTATTTGGACACCACAAAATGACGGAATTCAATACACAATATTACATATGTGGACTTTCACTTCTCAAGGTTTTCTAACATCCCCTTTTCAATATTGAATTCCAGAATCAAAGTTCTGGCACCAAAAAATAAAAAAATAAAAAATAACACAAGAAATTACACATTTTCATCTTAAAAAACAGCATAATATGCAACAAATACACGTGAATTTAAACCAAAACTCAATCTTACACACAAAATTCAAAAAGATGATGCCTTTTTGCCAACAAAACAGCATAACATGCAACAATGAATCAGAAACTCAACCAAACGCAATCTGACACACAAAATTCACAATCTATGCAATACTGGTTTGAGAACAATTTGACAAAATGTTTCTTCTTTTCCCTCTTGATAAGCACAATGCAAAATATAACTCAATTTATAGCTCTTCCTAGACCAAACATTGGACCTCATACTTTAAATCCTATTAACTAATAGGTAGTTCAAATAAAGCTAGTAGGCATTAACTCACACAACTTTTGGGGTAACATTGGCAAACTAAATTCTTGATTATGGATCTGTGCAGTTAATAGACTGTTTCCAGAAAATAATAGTAGCATAGAAAAGTTTTCTTTGTCCATGACGACCAAATGGGAAGAAAAACCAAAGTAAAATTCATCGAGCCAAACAATAAATAGCAGTATCAACCACAATAACAACCATGAATTGAACAACACTGTGACAAAGGAGTATATATATCTATGTATGCATTATGCATTTGAACAAACAATATATGTTATGTATTATGTATGTATTATGCATTTGAACAAAGGAGTTGTCACAATAAGAGCAGAACAAATCCAAATGCCTGAAGTATACTTCATATCACCAGAAAAAGTATCACCTCACCATGGCTAGATGAAAGCCACAGAGTTACAAAACTTCTAATAGGGAGGACCATATATCACGCGACTTACAAAAACTGTCATATCAGCAGTGCTTTGCTTTGGATCTTTAGAATCTTGTCCATCCTGTAAGAAAAATCAGTGAGATTACAGATTGATAGCTGATATTGATATCTGACTCAAACTTTAATCTAAGTAAATCAATCTGATTGATATCTGATATTGTAATAATATATTATATAAAAAGGATAAATAGAAAATTTCTTAAGGTAGTACATGGTATAATATTAATATAGATCTTAAAAACCCTTATTTTCATATTACTCTTTGATTGGATAGAACTCAGATATCTGAGATGCCAAGCTCTTTCCTCCTAGGACAGCAGCAGTAGTGCAAAATGCTTGTCCTCTGTTAACAGCAAAACAAAATCAGTCCAACATAATAAAAATTAAATGTCGTTTTATTACCTTAACTGTATTTTCAATGAACAAAACATGGCATTCAAACTACAAATGCTAATAAATTGATATCAATTCCCAAATAATGAACAAAAAGCTAACACAGAGTTGTCCAATTCAAATCTAAACAAGATCAAAATCAGAACAAATATGCAAACAAATATATTAGAACTTACCTCCAATGAGAAAGGGTTTCTTTTCTCACAGGAGTTGATTTTTTCCATCACTATCGATCAACGATTGGATCATTTGAGAGCTTGAAAATAAAACAAGGATGATTATTCAATCAATACATATATAAATTCATATATATACTTGTATAGAGAGATTTTTAGGAGAAAAAAAAATTATCCAAAAAAAAGTACAGATAATGTGTACGTAGATAACGAGATTGTGCAAGAGAGACAGAGATCGAGAGAGATTGAGAGATCGAGAGAGAGGGAGAGAGAGAGAGAGAGAAGAATAGATAAAACTGAGATTGGAAGACCAACCTTCAGACGGCGCTGATCTTGCACTACCTGTTTAGCACGGGCCCTAACCTCATATGGATCAATCTTGGATTGGGGGCGAACTAGAGCATATACAACTCATCAATCACCGAAACAGAGAGAGAGACGGGAAGGAAGAGCTTCAGAGAGAGAGAGAGAAAGAGAGACGGTGGAGCTCACCTTAGGAGACGATGGTGTAGATGATGATGGAGATAATGGTGTAGATGGTGGAGACCGACCTGAATCTTTGAATCTCTGCGATGAAATCACTGAGATGAAATCGCTCTGAATCTTTGTGATGAAATCACTGAGATGAATCTCTGAATGGCTCTGATAAGGGTTTAGAGAGGGTTGAGAGAGATTTAGAGAGAGAAAGAGAGATAGTGGTAGAGCTTCGAAATCGCTCTGAGATTTAGAGAGAGAGAGAGAGCTAAGCTCGAAAATTTGGGTCTTAGGTGAGTCTGAGATTCAAAATTAGGCTTTGAAAAGAGGAGACCAAGCGCGTGAAGCACAACACATTCGGAGGCGTTTTAAACGCCTCCTATTATTAAACGGTGTCGTTTTGTTAAACAAATATGCGACGTTTTATAAAACGTCGTTAAATATTAAAAAAAGTGACGTTTAAAAATGTGTCGTTAAAAAAACGCCGCCTAAACCTCTTTTTCCTGTAATGGAGGACTTGACTTGTGGCGTCATGTTGCAATCGTTTATTTATTTTTATTTTTTATTTTTTATTTTTTCATTTTGAGTAATACAAAACAGACATCAAACTAATTGACTGATGTCAACTTGTTATGTCGTATGTGCATAGTGCAGTCACTCTCAGGGCCAAGAGATTTCACATCAAATGCAATACAGTTCATTCATATTTGGATTTTTTTGCACTAAAGTACTCACAGTAATGATTTGTGAGTGGGAATTTTTGATAGCACGAAATTATTATAATTACATCGCAAATATTTTTTAATTAATATTATAGAAGTTTATAATTATTTATTTATTTTTATATACAAAAAGAAATGTGCCAGTGTTCTAGCATTTTTAATAATATAAATAATATTTATTGTGAACAAAATTAGACTCCAAATAAAGGTTACGTGGTCAGTGTTTAAATTTTTGCATAACAACATCCATTGAACAAACCCCCCCCCCTCTTTTATAGCAATTCATTATCAATTAAAAATGTATGTTATAATAATTTGTATCTTGAACAAAAAAAAAAAAAGAAAAAAAAAGTTTAAACTTAATGAAAAAAAATTACAATTAAAAAAAACTAATAACCTAAAATATTATAATATATATATATATAATAAAAAGAATCTCAATTTTCAAATGTCCTAAAAAAAATGATTGACTGACATTGAAAACATACCTCCCAAATACACTTGTGGTATCCATTAGTTGTTTTGGTAAGTATGTTAAAAATTGATTTTTAATTTTTTTAATAAGTTAAAACAAAAAAATAATTTTTTTTCCCATGTTGCCAAAACAAGCTAAAGTTTCATTCCAAAATAATGTTTCATAATAAAAGCTTTACAATCTCATAATCAAGTACTAACTCAATCTAGAAAAAAATGAAAACTCAAAATCAAAATATAATTTGGGGTAAGCAAAAACACATAAAAAGATCTTTATAGAGCCAAGTTTACATATTAATCACTCATAAATTTTTATAATTAAATTCTGACATTATAGATTACCTAGGATTATTATTATTTTTTTCTATGTTTTACGACTAGAATGTAACGGTCCGCATCATAAAATTTTCAAACTCAAAACGCTCTAATCCGAGGCGGATCCCTTACTTTCGTGTTTAGATTTACCAAAGGGTTTTTTTGAACAACTTACAAAATATTTGAAAATTTTAAATTTCTAAATTAAATCATTTAATATAGTTTGAACCATTCATGCTCTTATTGACAAGTTAGAAAATATATTAAAAAATTAAATTTGATCAAAATAAATAATATTAACCAAATCACATCTATATTATACGTATTGATGGTCTTATTTTTAAGATCATATAAATCATATAGATCAAATGATCTAATAATATAACAATCGCGTGTTCAATGCCAATTTATTTTTTTATTATGAATAATTTTTTAAATTTATAAAATAAACGATTTTAAATACTAAATAAATTTAAATTCATTTTGTTAATAAATTAACTTTCTTGTAAAATTGAGATATTTAATTTTAACAAAATCTTTTTTTCCCCCCTCTTTTGTGTTTCATACTTTCCAACAACAAAGATGACTTGAAAGACAATTAAAAATCAGCAAAGTCGTCGACGCTTTGGATATCTTTTTCTTTTTCTCCTTTGTGTTTACTTCACGAGTAAGAATTAACTGGAAAAGACAATTAATACCAATAGACGCTTTGGGTACGTTGTTTTGTTTTCCCACTATTTGGTTTGGCATATAGCTTGTTAGGTGGTGGGTTACACCATGAACTACGACTACGACTACTGACTATGACATGATCAATGAATGACTATGACTATGACTATGACCATTGATCAATGAATGGGCAATGGTTTTGTTTGGGCCCGCTGTACGATCAATAAGTTAGTCTTGTTTGGAAATTTGCCTAGGTAATATATTTTATTTTTGACTATTTTATAGTGTTAAATTTTTATATTTGAAAAATTGTTGAATTTTTTTTAGTTTTGATGTTGATATTTGTGAAGAAAAAAGGTGAAATGATTATGGATTGATGTGAGTTTTTTATTTATTGATTATTTTAACCCATTTTGTCTTTTTATAAATTTCAACCTTAAAAGCCAAAAAAATAACATTTGCCAAAACAAGGCCATAATCTTATCTTAGATTTGGGTCAATAATATGACGTTAGGGCAATGTGTAAAATGAATTTAAATTATATATTGATATTTTTGAATAATTTTTTAAATAAAATTTCTTGAGTTTGTATTATTTTTGCTGAACTATTGATGTTAATTTGCTGTGAAAAATGACAATAATAGGAATGTAAAAAATTGTCAATAAATTTATCTCAAAATTTGATGTGTGACTTAAATTTAGTTTTTGTATAATAAAATTTTAATTGAAATGAATCTCCACTCACTTTTTTTTTTTTAATATTTTTTTTGAATAATCTTTTTTTGGAACATTTGCGATTACTGTGAGGAAAAGGAGAGGCAAATTGTGGAGGATGATAACAAGATGGTAAAAGAAATTGTTTTTCATGTGGTTTTTGTTTTCAAGAATGGTTTTTCCATTCCCCTAATATATTTTGAGTAATCAGCAGTACTTTGGGTTGATGCCTCCGCGCGATGAAAAATTATTAGTTGATTTAAATCGATGAAAAATAATTATTGATTTAAATCACAAGAGTCATTACTGTTGTATTAAAACTGTGAGAGATAAACAGTTAACGTGTCATTATAAAGAATATAAATTAATTTCTCCCTCAATATCCTCCTTTAAGTCAGCAAGTCAACTGAACAAAGGAAGATAGAGAATAATTAATGGGGGTGCGTGTTTTTTGGGTAAGTGAATGACGGTGTGTTTCATTTTTAATTTTGGTCAACTTACAAATTTTTAGTTTTGAAAAAATTATTTTAAATATTATTTGGTTAAATTTATTACAAATAACTTTTAATTCTAATAACTTCATTGTAACTCAAAAAAATTGATCTGTGAAGTTGTTCATCCTACTTCTGATTTTAAATTTTTACTGTAGGCATTATAATTTACGATTATACCTTAGATTTTTTTATTTTTTATTTTTTAAAAAAATTAAAAAAAAGACCCAAATGGATTATGGATTATTGTTGTTATTTTTATGGAAAATGTAAACTAGTTAATGAATAACAAAAAAATAGAAGTTAATTCAAAAAGCGTATTTTACAATTTATTTGCTACTCAGTAACTTAAAATTTAATTTAGCATTGCACCAAACAGATAAACAACTTTCTGATTAAATTATAATCTATAATTATAATGTATAATCTAGTAAGTTATAATTTATAAATTTGTTTTACCAGCCATGTCACCAAACACCCCAATATCTTTTCTATTACAATGTTTTGTTCTAAGTCCAATTGTCAAAATAATGTGCACATGATCGTCTTTGCCGGTGGAGAACCACCCCATTTTAATCTAGACATTTAATAATTACCTAAAATAGTATATATTATTTCACTATTCTGTTAATTATTTATTATTAGTATTTTTTTACTTGTTTAAGCATTTTTCCTAATTAAAATACTCGTAGTCTGTTCCATGAGTTTGACATAGCCTTTCAATATAATATGTATCACTGAAGACAATATTATCATCACTATATCCTCTCTCAAATTCAGATGAGAGCGTACAATCCTCATATGGGTTTAATATTAGTGTCGTCAATGTCATGGACTCAGCTTAAGTTCATGCGTGTTGTTGTGTTTTTGTTCTCATCGGGGTGTTCGGTGTTTGGGTGGTTCAGGCTGCTAGTAGTCTCATCGTTCTATTCATGTAGCCAGGGAATTGAGAACGCATCGGCTAGCCTTGCTCGCTTCAAGGCTGAAAAAACCGTGATACCCATTCGGGGCGTCTCAAACTTGTGGGAATGAAATTCCAGTCCACTTTGTCAAGGGCTGGCATAACATGTGTGCCGTCGACGACCTCAGAGGGTGACTAAGTTGAAATTGGATCAATTGAATATATTGACAGGCTCAACTTCGCCTCACATTGGAAAATCTGGAGCTTTCTTAGGTTACTTTCGTTGCGTAACATAGCTTCACTCATTATATCCCCCCTGA